GCACAGCACAGGTTCTATTCGTAAAAAAGGAAAGTAAAGGACCCTTTTCCACGCCTTTCGGCGTATAGGGCATTTAGGGCTAGGCCTATATTTTTATAAACCAAGATGGGTGATGTGGTCAGCATCACGCCGACCGCCTTTACTTCCCGGGACTGAACCCGGTAACCACTCAAGGCTGGGTCGACCTGGGAGCCAAGGTAATTTTTTTAAAAAGTCCGGCTCCGCCAGGGAGCGAACCCACGACCTTCCGATCGGCGGCGAGCGTCTAGCCTCTCCACCACTGGGATTCCCCGTTCTATTCGTAATACACATGTGTACGTTATTTGTTTCATATTTCTAAAAAAGAAAATGGTAATCATCATGCAATGTTTTTCCATATATGGGCGTGTTTCGTTGTTTTTGGTGGTGTTGTTCCTTTACTTGTATTGTACCAGGGGATCTGACTGACGCTCAACACTCAGGGAAAGGATGAGACGGATATACAGATGGTTACTAGTGCCACAGGAATTCAAACTCTTCGCTTGCTGCTGAAGATGGCGATGGGACACTTATGGGCGTGTCCCGAGGGCAGTGATGTCGATTCTTTATTCAACATTCAACATTCTACTTGTACTGTATGCAGGTCTTGTTTTCTTTCTGGCTGTACACAATGTTATACAATACCGGCACGTTTTAGGCATTATTTTATTTTAGCCACATTTTGACACTGGTGAGTGAGTACTGGTCACCATTAGACACTGTGGTGTGTGAGTACTGGCCACCTTTAGACACTGTGGTGAGTGAGTACTGGCCACCTTTAGACACTGTGGTGAGTACAGGCCACCCTTAGACACTGTGGTGAGTACTGGCCAGCCTTAGACACTGTGGTGAGTACCGGCCACCCTTAGACACTGTGGTGAGTACCGACCACCCTTAGACACTGTGGTGAGTACCGACCACCCTTAGACACTGTGGTGAGTACTGACCACCTTTAGACACTGTGGTGAGTACCGGCCACCCTTAGACACTGTGGTAAGTACCGGCCACCATTAGACACTGTGGTTAGGGAGTATCGGCCACCTTTAGACACTGTGGTGAGTACCGGCCACCTCTAGACACTGTAGTGAGTACCGGCCACCTTTAGACACTGCGGTGAGTACTGGCACTATTTTCCCCTTGAGAAAAAAAAAAGTCCTGCATTTATTTATACTAAATATCGTAAAAAGTAACGGTGACAAGATCGACTTCGTTGCACAGGGTTGTATCCAATATATCTCAGTCTCTCTCATAGAACAGATAGCTGCCTGCCGAGAGCGTGGCAAAGAGCACGACCTCCGTAGCTTCGGTGACGATCCCAAGAGATATCTGTAAAAGCTGTACTCATGAACTGAACGACGCCGCCGTTAAACAAACTAAGTTAACGTTACAGCTAGAAAGCCTTTATCAGCACACTACCGGAATAGGCAATGCTACAGCAACCAAGTCTACATGTAGTGAGATGTGACAAAGAGCTTTTCTATAGGACTGGCATTGACACACTACAGGAATAGACAATGCTACAGCAACCAAGTCTATATGTAGTGAGATGTGACAAAGAGCTTTGCTATGGGAATGGCATCGACACACCACAGGAATAGATAATGCTACAGCAACCAAGTCTATATGTAGTGAGATATGACACAGAGCTTTGCAATAGGACTGGCATCGACACACCACAGGAATAGATAATGCTACAGCAACCAAGTCTATGTGTAGTGAGATGTGACACAGAGCTTTGCTATAGGACTGGCATCGACACACTACAGGAATAGATAATGCTACAGCAACCAAGTCTATATATAGTGAGGTGTGACAAAGAGCTTTGCTATGGGAATGGCATCGACACTACAGAAATAGACAATGCTACAGCAACAAGTCTATATGTAGTGAGATGTGACACAGAGCATTGCTATAGGACTGGCATCGACACACCACAGGAATAGACGATGCTACAGCAACAAGTCTATCTGTAGTGAGATGTGACACAGAGCATTGCTATAGGACTGGCATCGACACACCACAGGAATAGACAATGCTACAGCAACCAAGTCTATATGTAGTGAGATGTGACACAGAGCATTGCTATAAACTGGCATCGACACACCACAGGAATAGACAATGCTACAGCAACCAAGTCTATATGTAGTGAGATGTGACACAGAGCATTGCTATAGGACTGGCATCGACACACTACAGGAATAGACAATGCTACAGCAACCAAGTCTATATGTAGTGGGATGTGACACAGAGCTTTGCTATGCGACTGGCTATCTCCTCATGTATAAAACATTAATTGCAACATACAACCTATCATCAGCAAGTCTACAAATGGATTAAGTGAGTTCGTTGAAAGCATTGGCTCCATTTGTGACAGCTGAGTAGAAGAAGCAGGAGTGGGAAGGGAAGGAGTAATGGATGAAAAGGTAGAAAGAAAAGACAAAATGGAAGCCTCTTCTTCTTTTTCTTCTTCTGCTGCTTCTTCTTCTGCTTTTTCTTTTTAGCGTTCATCGGCTGCAAACTCTGGCGTAAAGTGGCGGTTGTTCGTCTACTTTTTAACTTTATTCTTGTTCCAAAACTGGAGTTTTGCGTGCACATCTGTATTACAAAACTGGCTTATTATATGCAGACTGTTGGTTCTTAGCCTATCATATCGATTTATATTTTGTTTTTATTTACGTCTATAAGTAAATCTTACTACCTGTGAAGTAATGTCATCCTATTTCAAGTAAATATTTCCTGTGTATTGTATAGCGTATAAAGCAAACTTTATGCGCAGGTGTGCTAAACTATATGAAACTTTCCCACTGCAAAATGGCTGCAGTGCTCCAGAAATGTATTCAATGTCACAACCTTTCAAAGTCGTTAACAAATACTTTCCTGTAGTTTAAGGTCAGTGCTAGTGAAAAGGGAGATCATCGTCAGACGCAATGACACCGTCAATGACACTCGTTTGTTTAGTTCGTTTCAACCCAACCCATCCTGGCATCTAATGCCATGTTCTTTTATTGGCTGTTGTCTGTCTGAAAGTTAGCTGGAGTTTGTTGACAACGAAATGCTTTCAAACGACGGAGAAACCGCCGCGGGAGTTCAAGGACTAGACGTTGGCCTGACTGCCTCAGGGTCCTGAATTTATGTCTGGGTAGATTTTTGTAATTTACCTAATATTACAGGTCAAACCAGTCAGCAGTCTTGTACCAGGAAACTTCCTGACACGTTTAATCGACCGCCTCACCTGTCGAATGGGGTATGAACCTATGCTGTTAAGGTAACGTTGCAGAACCAACCCTATCATTTTTGACCTGTTTGAGATTCCACTAGGTAATTTTACGTTCAGTAATTTTGTCATTGTTTCAGCTGAGAAAGCATTATTAAAATACTTATTGTAAAAATTACCTAGAAAAAATACACAGCAGTCCACAAATTGGGGGTTGTTTGGGAAAGCTTGAAAAACGAACGATGTGCAAATAACTTTGATTCATCAGTACAAGAACTTCACATCTGTATAGGCACGTTGAGAAATAACCAGATCAGCACAACAAACTCGCTAGATGGGTAATGTTTCTTCTTCAGGGTTAACTGCAAACTCCGATCTCATGGGTATTGAGAAGTGGAGTCTTCATCACTATCATCCCTATCACGAAGCAGATCGCTTGCAGAAACTCGCTCTTATCGCGGAGTGCCGAAAAACTATACAGTTCCAGACCATCTTTCCCGCCTCGTAAAATGTCATGCCCATAGCGTCCTTGACATTCTGTGTCAACATATGTGCTGGCTGCTCTTGCCTCTTCTTCTATGAACCATACAAGCAGAGTCAAGGACCTTTTTCGGCGTTTTCGGCATGTAATGCTAGTCCTATATTTTATAGACAAATCGGCCATGGGTTGGTGATGGGGTCTATATCACGAAGGCCGCCTTTACCTAGTACTCGCTCAACGTTGGGTCGCCATGGGAGTCAAGGTCATTTTTGAAGGGAAAAAAATCCTGCTCTATTCGGATTCGAACCTACGGCTATCTTCCGAATAACGGTCCCAAATTATCGGGGCAGAAAATATACCCTAACAGAACCTCAGTCACATGTCAATTGCGCACTTCCGGGGACTAGACCGCCACCGCCGAATTGCGTACTTCCGGGGGACTATACCGCCGAGTGAATCCCCCACGCCGCTCACGCGGCGTGGATTGGGGCTAAACTAAATGGCTGGGACTCACGAGCAAATAAAATAAGGGCAGCTGCAGGAAATGCGGTAGCTGCTGCTCGTGAGTCCCAGTCATCTAGATTAGCCTCAATCTACGCCGCTCTTGGCGTGGCGCAAGTCACTAGAAGTACGCAATTTAAGTTGCCGGAAGTGCGCAATTGACACGTGACTGAGGCTCTGTTGGGGTATATTTTCTGCCTCGATAATTTGGGACCGTTATTCTGAAGATAGCCCATAAATAATTTTTTTTTAAACAGTCTTATACTATAAAATCACAACTAAAGAACAACTAAAAAATTTTTTTACTCAACGCTCGGAATCAGAGGGATGGTAAATGTTACTGAGAATCCAAAAATAGATTTTAGATCATCGAGTTACGAAACTATGGAAAAGAATAATGATCGCCTTGAATTATCATAGACTTTAACTTTTATGCATATTGCCCGGCTCGCTAGCTTAGTTGATTAAAGCTAACTTTGCGACGGCCGGGTGACGAACTCCTTGTGGTCCTGGCTCACTCCCGGGAGTAGGCAGAAAAGCCACATTTCTCCCAGATTTACGGCACCTATAGTGGAATCAAGGCCGAAGGGTTGCGATATCAATAGTACCTAGCCGAAGGGTTTACAACTCATGGTTTCTGGATACTTAAAATAAAAAACCGTATGCATATTCATATTCCGTGCTTTGTTGTTTTGTTTTTGTTAAGGATAACCACCCCTCCTACTCACAAGCCATAAGCAGTGTCTGGAGTCACTTCTCACTTCCCTTCGGCTGACCACCATCAACATGTTATGGACGCTTATATCAACCACTGTTGTGCTGCAGAGTGTTCTTCAAGCTACCTCTGCTGTGAGCAACAAGGTGCTTCTTGTCTCCATGGATGGTTTCAGGCACGACTACCTTACCAAGGCCGAAACACCCAATTTTGACAAGATGGTCGCTGAGGGAGTGACGATGTCGTACCTGAACAATACCTTCGTCACAAACACCTTTCCATGTCACTATTCTATGGCTACAGGTACGTGATTCATCTTTTTTTCCCCTCTTCTTCTTGGCGTTCACCGGCTGTAAACTCAGGCGGAATATCTTGTTTGTTCGTCCACTTCTGAACGCTGATCTTGTTCCAGGACTTGAGTGGTGCGGGCATCTGTTTGGCAGGACTGGCTTGTTTGTGTACAGACTGCTAGTTCCTTGCCTCTCCGGCATACGCACCCCGACTTCGAAGGAAACATCTAACTCATCTACTGTGACCAGGCTCCTGTTTGGGAACCTGTTTCTAGGACAATAAACAGGACTTGACCACTAGGAGCCGTGTGTGCCACCTCGTGGGATTCAGCACCTCTACATCCATGTGTGGGACAGAGACTGGGACGTGTCACACTGGATATGTAGCAAGTTGGATAACCAGAGACTGTATAATGTGTGGGTGTTACACAGAGACTGGGTATGACGTATGTCACACAGAGACTGGGTATATGCTTATTACACAGAGAGTAGCTCGTACTCATCTGTCACGCACAGACTGGGTAACATGTATGTCATATAGAGAGTGGGTGAAGGTATATTACACAGAGACTAGCTTGTACTTATATGTCACACACAGACTGGTTAATATGCATGTCACACAGAGCCTGGGAATATGCATATTGCACAGAGACTAGCTCGTACTCATGTCACATACAAACTGAGTAAAATGTATATCACACGGAGACAGGGTATGTGTTTATCATGTAGAGACTAGCTGGTACTCATATGTCACACACAGACTGGTTAAAATGTCTCTCATACAGGCACAGTTATATGTAAACCACATATAGACTAGCCAATACTCATATGTCCTACACAGACTGGCAAACGTGTATGTCACATAGGCACAGCGTATATGTAAATAACGTAGAGACTAGCTTCAGGCTCGTGTGTCACACGAATGTCACACAAAGACTAGGTAATTAATACGTATGTCACGTACATGCGATCGCGGCCGTTCTGTGTGCCATCACTTAGGCGTGAGAGTATAGGGGAAAATGTTTAAATAAAATTATATATCTGGGGGTGGGGAAGGGGTGACGAGAAATGTTTCGCACCGAGTCCCACAAAACACTTTAGGTCACTGCAAACGGACAGGGTAACCTATGTATATCACGAGGACCCAGTAATATATAAGTTACACATGGACAGGGTAACATGTTTATCCCACAAGGACCTAGTAATATGTAAATCACACACGGACAGGGTAACACGTGTATCCCACGAGGACCCAGTAATATGTAAGTCACACACGGACAAGGTAACACGTGTATCCCACGAGGACCCAGTAATATGTAAGTCACACACGGACAGGGTAACACGTGTAGCCCACGAGGACCCAGTAATATGTAAGTCCCACGCGGACAGGGAAACACGTGTATCCCACGAGGACCCAGTAATATGTAAGTCACACACGGACAGGGTAACATGTGTAACCCACGAGGACCCAGTAATATGTAAGTCCCACGCGGACAGGGAAACACGTGTATCCCACGAGGACCCAGTAATATGTAAGTCACACATGGACAGGGTAACACGTGGATCCCACGAGGACCCAGTAATATGTAAGTCACACATGGACAGGGTAACATGTGTATCCTACCAGGACCCAGTAATATGTAGGTCATACGCAAACTGGGCAAAATGTATGTGGTACAGACACTGGTTATTAGTTTGAAACAGACAACACTAGTTACACAGACTGTTTATTATATGTACCACATTCAGTTCAGGTGATTCGTGTTTCATACACAGACTTCATAATATGTGTGCCCCACAGAGATTGTTCATCAGGCGCGTTGTTATCGCGTAACGATTGGGTAAACAAGCATATCAAAGAAGTAATTAATCATGAACAAGATTGAGCAGCTTAGATAACCAAGTAATTTGTATACATAACACTGCCTGTTTATAATTGTTATCCTTTTTAGCACAACGTTAAATTATCAAATTCATTGTGAACACTATTTGCAGGGTAGAACATGTATTCTCATTATTAATAAATAACAAATATTTCACTGCTTCCTTCTTTTAAATGGGCTAACTTCTGTAAATCAGATACGGTTAATCAATAATTTTGACGCAGTTAAAAAAAAAAGTTTTCTTAGTCTTGATAAATTTGTCGAAGACATCTGTTGCCTATGTTGCATAAACTATGTCAAACATGTATTATTTTCGCTGCCATATATTTCCCCTGTCAATATACTTTTTATTTTTGTTTTATAAGTAGTAATCATCTAATATCTTATTCATCGTCATCCTGTTGTGCCATTACTTGCCACATGGAAGTCACAGACTGTAGTCCGTTCGGAAATTCATGAACATAAATAGATTTTAATATTTTGGAAGCTAAAGGACCGGTTGTGCTGACATTTTGTACGCTCACTCCAGACATCCATGACGATAAGGAAATCATTTTAGCACTAATGAAGAATATCTAATCTTAATTTTTTTTTTTTTTTTAATATATTTTTATCATGAAACCATCTTGCTAGTTTTGGGATGTTCCCTTTCATTAGTTTAATGAAGAAATAAAATAAGCACACTAATTAGTTAGTTAGTTAGTTAGTCCTTAAGTTCTCAGATAACCTTTTCAGTATCTCCTTCAGCGTGTAATGGCTTATGACACCAGTTATGTGTTATTTTACTATTTTTCTTTGGGACTATATGTAGCGCTCTTACCTAGCTTCACCCATTGTCTCGTCAGTGTTGCAGATTCACAGTCATTACTTGATACGTTTAATCGAGCCGCCTCTCCGAGGGCATTCAGTATATGAGCTCTGTCCATTGCTTGTCCGTTTCCCACGCGAGCATCACTTGCAAGTCTGTCAGCTCTTTCGTTGCCCTTTGCGCCAGAATATCCCAGAACACATATGAAACTGATTTTTGTCAGCCTAGATCTATTCAGGGACTTCACCTATTATCTTCGTGTGCAACCCTTCTCGACCTTCTTGAGCATATTCATTCAGTCGCGGAGACAGCATGCCCGGGTGAAGGTCTCTGTTTCTAGCCAGGCTATTTATTGCTTTAGTTAAGTCTATTCAATAAAGTTTACTCGGGAGCCACAATTTTGGAATCATGTTTGTCACGGGACAGAGACCCGAGCTCTAGCATAGAATAGTCATTATAACTATACAATCGTCACTGATCAGCGGGCCACTTGCTAATCCTCCGCGGGTCAGATTTGGCCCGCGAGCCACCACTGAATAGCCATGCTTTTAGTAAAGTCGGGGGAGATGTGAACAGACGTCATTGCACATGGTTATAAACAATAAGTGCTCTGCCACCAGAACGGACAGCTGATAAGAAACAGTCAGCCTGTGTCGCCGTCCGCACGAAACTCCGTAGCTACAGAGACGTTCCTTTTTTCCACAGAATGTTAACTCTGGTACCCATTTCCTAGAGGCTGGGTGAACCCCGGGAACCGCCCGGTTTTGAAAAACCGGCCGTGGGCTGCAGCGAGTCACAGCTGGATTTGAAAGCGAGCCTCCTATCGACTGCGCTGACGCGGCTCCCCAAAATTTGAACCGGGATTTGAAATAAAGCGAGAATAATACCCCACAGACCAACGAGCCATCTAAGTGTTGCTTTAGTGGTTACCATGACCTCCATAGAAAAACGGCTTGTTATCAAGGCGAAGGCACCGCAACCTTGTTTAGCTCCACCCCCTGACCTGAGCCGTGTATATCCACAAGCACATCACATTTCTAATGACAGACCTGTCTGTGTGCATGACCACAACGCCTTCAGAAACATTCTCACATATCAAGGCCTGCACTTCTGTTTAAACAGGTACTGGGTTTTGCTGTCTGCATTCTCTGTTTAGCTTCATGCATACTTCAAAGGACGTACGATACTGGTGGTACGTGTACCCATTCCTCCCCAGGTTCTATATCCTCAAGTGAACAAACCTCTTGTATAATATTCTCGGCCTGACTCATCAACGATTTTCCTCTCTTTAATCCGCTGCCTTTTCTTTTCCTGAATTCACTGTTCAGTGGGTGTTTTGTTTCGGACTGACTTAGAGATAGGTGTGTGCAGATCCTTACTCTAGCTTCCATTGTTGTAAAACCAAGGAGGTATCGTCTGCATGATGTATCTTTGGTGCACCCTAGTATAATGCGCATGGCCTCGTTTTGTATCTTTTCCAGTCTCTTTAACTGAGTCTTGTTAAGAGTAAGTATCGCCAAGGCATACTCGATCACTGAAAGTACCAGACCTTGGTATAAAAAACAGAGATGTTGTTAGCAGTTTGCTGCCGCCTAACCCTCATAGCCGCCAAACCCCTCTTAGCCTTCGCTACCACATGGCCTATGTGCCAAGTAAAAGCCAGACTGCGATCAAAAAGAACTGTCAGGTATTTCATTGCAGAAGCTCTTTCCACCACCTCCGAGCACAAATTTAGAGCTGGTGTTGGAGTGTTGACGATTCGGTTGTTTAGCCAGAACCACGTCACAGCTGTCTTCGTTGAGTTGACCTGGGCTCCTGCCTCATCATACCAGCTGGTTATGCGGTCGAATTCAGACTGAAGTTCCTCTGTAACCTCATTCCGGTCTTTGCCCTGACGGTACACAAAAACGTCGTCAGCATATGATAATGTCCTCTCGCGTCCTGTAATATGTTCGCCTGTTTTTCTCACAGTGTAGGCCTTGAATAATACTGGAGATAGGGACGAACCTTGCGGCAGGCCAGGGTGTATTGTTGTTGGTTCAGAGGCCCAGCTGCCACACTTAAATACTATCATTCGTTGTAGAAGGGCTGCAGAGATTCATTTGAGGAGAAAAGGACTGATATGTAATCTGGTAATCTGGTAATCCTAGTTTCAGCATCATAGCAAACGGGTCACCCCATTGTTGCTCCGCTCCTGTGCCAACGAAAAACACTCGTAGCTCACAGTGTCACACCATGCACTCAACTCAGAAGCTGGGTGACTGATATGTAGTTTTAGTAGCTGAAACATTAAAAAGTTCAAGGATACTCGGTTGTAAGCGCATCCTCGAGGTTAGTGGCAGCTGCACAGGTTTCAATGCCTGAATAGAACCACTCATATACGTCGTGGGCAGAAGCACAGCTTGGCTTCAAGTTTCGCTGTTGGGGTGGTAGCCACTAAGGTAGGTCTTGCCTTTCGAGCCGGCAGGCTATGTTTTTGGCAATAATCTTCTCCACCAGCTTGCCTAACGTGTTCTGCATTATTATTACTCTGTATCGCTGGATCACAAGCACTACATCTCAGAAGATCAGCTACAAGAGCAAGAGGACGGCCGCGAAAAACATGGATTGACAACATTAAAAACACTCTACGCCTTCACGGCAGTGGCAGCCAACGCGCACTGGATCGCAAATTATTCCTTCCCACAACGCTTAATGGCAGAAATAGTTTATGATGATGATGTTGATCCCTGGATCTTTGTGTGGACTTTACCAGGCTTCGGCAGAGGTATTAAGTAGCTGTGTGGCCACTCTTCTTTTGCCGCTTTTAATGCTGTTGTTGTAAACGGCTGCCAGTTATGCTAGCACCTTTTAAGAACATTTGCACACATCTTCGTATCGTATGCCATCTAGATCCGGTGCGTTATTGTTTGCCTATTGTAGTGCAGTCTTAATCTTCGACTGTCACTAGTTTCTCATTATCGACTTCCTGGGTCTTACACATATCTGGGATGGCTGTTCTAGATGTATTGTTTCCTCGCTGTTTTTTCTGGTCACTCTGTGCTAGACAGTGGGCGAACTTAGTCTTGCCCTTATGTTTGTCTGATTTCTGCGCATCGTTTGTTTGCCCAAGCCATCATTTCACAATGGAGATAGTTCCCATCTTTTTCTCTTGCTGCGTTGATTCCCACTCTTCAAACGCCTTATTTTGCGCTACATCCTGCCTGTGCTGTCATATTCAAAGGTCTTCACTTTTTGTCTGTAACCCCTAGATCTGCCTTTTCCCGCCACTATGCTGCAGGGATGATGATCACCCCCATTTGCACACTGTAGATAGTTGTGGGGAAACCAGTGCCAGATCAATAACGCTTTCCTCATCTCCTGGTCGACTTGCAGTTCTTGTGACACCTCCACTGTTGATGCATACAAGGTCGATGGTTTCCATGTCATCATCGAGCTTCTCCCTTGTGTGTTAGAAGAAAAGTTTGCACATGTTCGCCTTTTCACGTTAAAATCACCACAGAAAATGATGTTTTCATCACAAAACTCTATTATCTCTCGGTGGCACTGCCATGTCTGGCAGTTTATTTTCGCGTTTCGAGCGTACAAATTGATCAACACAAAAGAATGCACCGACAGAACTTTTATTCCATGTATTTATAGTGTGTCGCTGTCCCAACCAGTCATGCCTATCTCTGTCACAACAATCGCTCTCCCAACGAGACATGCCTATCTCTGTCACAACAATGTTGCGTACAAGGATGGCCTGTTGTAAAAACAGTTGAAATAGGCCACGTTCAGCGTTTCATCACATAGCCTCGTCTCTTGAATGACAACGATGTCTAAATGAAAGGCCCACGCTGCTTTACGCTCGCCCTATTTGAGTTTTGTGCTCCGGCACGTTTACCCTTCCTTTGACGTCTCCATTTCTTGTGCTTTTGTTTTCTAACCTTAACAGTTTCGCTACACTGCTGAGCAGCCATTGCAAAATACACGCTAACGAAAACAACTCAAGCAGGTTTTAGCACAGATGGCGACGCGATGTGTCTGTTTTTCTCACACGCATTATTTTCGTCCATACAATGAAAACCTCTTTACATGGATGTAGATAATTGTGTCAGAATTTAGGCTAGGAAGAAACCTTCCTTAAATAAACGGAACCTTTAAACAAGACGTTCTTCAAGGTTGTTTAGTTAGAGGCATATCCACAAATCAGTGTTCAGTTATTGTATCATATAGTTGGCTTAGATTTGATTTGATTCAAGAACCGACATCTCAGCACTCGGGGCATTCCCATAAGCGCTCCGTCCCCATCTTCAGCAGCCAGCGAAGAGTTCCGATACTAATGGTGCCAGTACATTCTGATTAAATGTCCGTCTTGCCTTTCCTCTGAGCCTCGAGCATCTGCCAGAACCTCTCGTCACCCTAACTGCATCAATCTCACCAGACCAAAACTGGAACAGACATCAATTTCGCAATGAGTTTTAGGTGCACATTTATAGCTAACTGTACAAGAGGTTACCGTTTTACTGTACCGGTACTTCCGAGAGGAAACGAAGACGGCTCATTTTTACTGTGATATTCATGACTCAGAGAAACGAACAATGTTGCGCATAATCTAAAATTTCACTCTCTGTATTTACAGTGGCTCGAAAAGATCGAAGGAATTGACTGATTAGCAAAATCCTTTGCATATATTTAGACTGAACAAAAAAGTAAAGTCGGAAGATGTGAACCAGCGTCATTGCACACGGTTATAGAACATAAGTGCTCTGCCACCATTACGGACAGCTGATAAGGAATTGTCCACCTGTGTCGCCGTCCGCACGTAACTCCGTAGTTACAACAACGTTCCTCTTTTTACCCCAGTGTGTTAACCCTGGTATCCATTTACTATAGGCTGGGTGAACCCCGGGAACCGTCCGGTTTCGAAAACCGACCGTGGGCTGCAGCGAGTCGTAGCTGGATTTGAAAGCGAGTCTCCTATCGACTACGCTAACGCGACTAAAGAATAGCACTATGCGTCATAGATATTCCAAGGCTGCATGATAAAACAAAACACACACAAAATCTTTACGATCTAAAAGGCAGTTTTCGAGAAAGTGGAATGCAAAAGTCTTCATGAATCTCTGAACTGACTATAGTAATCCACTGTGTTATATCTTGTGCAGTTTCCTCTGTATAATGAAGGGAAACCATTACATAACAGCACCAATGGCCTCTCTATACAAGGTTTGTTTCAGGGCTTCTTTATATGTCTTCGTGTCTCCAGACCATAAGTTTCTCATTACAATGACTGTCCACTTCTCCCCATTCTGTGCCAGATTTGTCATCATCTTCTTTGTCTCATAACTTTTTGTTATTAGCGGTTGGTAAGACCTTCTTTTATTTTTCGTCTGCCTTAACTAATCCCATTGAACTTTGACCGATTTCCTCAATGGTTTTTACTTCCAACCCATTCAACTTTCACCCCATGTCTTCAGTGATTCTCGAACTTTCACTGGCATAGATTGAGACTGAAATAACAGGCATCATTAAACAGCAGATCCTTTACAGAAAGTCGCTCTCTTAACGGCACGCATGAAAGTCTTTCTTTCTCTAACCGATTCTCCGGCTCTATATGCTTTCATGTCCAATGTCTCATATCCACTTTCAAAGGGATCGACCTCTGCCTCGTTTTCCTGAGTATGCACCCTGCATCACTGTTATCCACAGGTCAATCAGTATAAAGTTTAACATGGTCAAAAAAACCTCAGCTTTCAGGAAAGGATACTGCCAATTTTCCGCAGTGTTTAAATCGTTTAGGATACCGATGTTTTTATTTTTCTTGATCCACGGAATTCTAAGAATGTTTCTGTACCATTGCAGTCAAAAGTTTAAAATTAAAAAAAAAAAAATGATGAGTAAGAGTCCATGAAAAAAAAAACAGAATCAAACATACATAATTTATTTATATGCGAACCGAAGACATCTCTTTTTGCAGGCTTGTATTCTGAAAGCAATGGCATCGTGGGTAACAGGATGTACGACCCAGAGCTTAACAGCTTCTTTACTATGTCTACAACTGATTCAGCATGGTGGGACAAGGGGGAACCTGTTTGGATAACAGCTCGCAAAGCTGGTTTAAAGGCAGGTTAGTTCTATAATAGTTTAAACAAGTACAGTTGTGTGTGTGCGCGCGCGCGCATGTGTGTGTGTGTGTGTGTGTAATGTAAGTGTATAGTTTGGTGAGTGTATGTGTGTGAAAGCCTAAAGACAGAATTAACAAACATTTCTAAACATGACTCTTCGTTCATTTAAACTTGAAACTCTCGAAGGGCATTCTTCGAACAACCTATTGATAGCATAACTGTGGTCTGGTTTCTTTGTGCCAATAATGTTGGCTAAGAAATGTTAATTGCACCAAACCCAGTGACTTGGACCGGTACTCTAGTACTTAGTGAGGGTTGCTGGGGGAAGGATGCTGGTATGCACTATACACACACAAACACATATTGGGACATGCATGTACAATTTTGTATATATATTAACTACATCATATATGTGTGTGTTTGTATACATATAAATAACATACACGTTAACGCCGAATGTTTGGCGGTGTATACCAAACGTGACATCCCATATCGTGTTTACGGTTTCGGGCACGTGAAGGCAAACAGTGATATTCTGCTAGATCCGGGCATCAAAGCAAATATCACGAGCAGCATGGCCTCGTAAACTGGAATATTTCGGCAAGAATAAACTCCTCGGTGACTCAGAAAGAACCACAATGGAAGGCTTGCTTCTTTGAAGAAGAGGCAAGGGTTGTCAAGTACGAGGATAGATACTGGAGACACCTGGGGTGTGAATATTCATGAGACGAAGGATATTGATTGCGGACAGAGCGGATTTCTAGTGCAGCCACTACCTGCAAAGCATATATATTATATGAAGGCGATGACTGTTTTCTCTCTCTCTCTCTCTCTCTCTCTCTCTCTCTCTCTCTCTCTCTCTCTCTCGATAAATTCATCTTTACCCTCTCTCTGTATCCTCGTTTTTTGTATATGTATGCATGTTCTGAGAAAACATGAGAACATCATAACTAGAATGTCTTTGCATTGGAACCCACAGGGGCATAGGAATAAAGGAAGGCTAAAAAAACACATGGAGAAGAGAGTTGGAGAATGAAATTAGAAAGATGGGGAGGACATGGGGAGAGCTCCATGCAATGGCGAAGGATAGAACGACTTGGCGTGAGTTGGTTGAGGGCCTATGCTCCATAGGGGGACAGAAAGGCAGAAGAAGAAGAAAGAAAGAATATGTGTGTGTGTGTGTGCGCGCGTGCGTGTGTGTGTGTATGTCTTTGTATTTGTGTGTGTATGTGTGTATGTCTGTCTGTCTGTCTGTCTGTCTGTCTGTCTGTCTGTCTGTCTGTCTGTCTGTCTGTCTGTCTGTCTGTCTGTCTGTATGTGTCTATGTATGTATGTATGTGTGTGTATGTATGTGTGTGTGCATATGCATGCAGACAGACAGGCAGGTAGGTAGGTAGGTGTGTGTGTATGTATGTATGTAGGTATGTATGTATGTATGTATGTACGCATACACAATTTTTTATTAAATCCCAGCATATTTCGACAATATATCATCAGGTACATATTTCTGGCCTGGCAGTGAAGCTGAGATCCAGGGACTTCGTCCAACCGTATTTTTCCCGTATAACACATCCGTCCCATTTGAGGATCGAGTGAACACAGTGCTGAAATGGCTGACTGTGGATGATTTTGATCTAGCAGTGATGTATTTCCATGAACCCGACACCAGCGGCCATGCCTTTGGTCCTGATGATGGCAGGATGGTCCCTGTGATCGAGAACATGGATGTCGTATTAGGCTGGCTGCTTCAGGGATTAGATAATTCTACTCTGAAGGTAAGAGACATGTTTTTATGTTTACATTTTGTTTGTTTTGTTGCAGTATTATAGGAGGTATACACAATGATACTTTATCTTTCTGTTTCACTTCTATGAGTGCCAACCAATAAATGTATATCTGTTTATCAGATTGATTGATTGATTGATTTGATTCAAGAACCGACATCACAGCACTCGTGGCATTCCCATAAGCGCTGCGTCCCCATCTTAAGCAGCCAGCGAAGAGTTCCGATACTAATGGTGCCAGTAGCATTCTGATTAAACGTCCGTCTTGCCTTTCCTCTGAGCCTCGAGTATCTGCCAGAACATCTCGTCACTCCCCCCCCCCCCCTCCCTTGCATCAATCTCACCAGACCGTGGTGATCCATCTGCTCCTCCGAACTGTACACGCTCCCCCACAAGGCACGCTCTGTTTATCAGATGAGATGGCTCAGCCTTTGAAAAATCGCATTGGCTCCCAGGTCGACCTAGCCTTAAATGGATATCAGGTAAAAGTCCTGAGAAGTAAAGGTGGCCGACATGATGCTGACTACATCACCCACCAAGTGCCGATTGGTACATGAAATATAGGTCTAGCCCTATATGCCCAGTAAGCCCGAAAGCATGGACATAGTCCTTTACTTTACTTATTCAAGTCGTGAGAAGCGATACAGAAGATCTTACGTGAGACTGCTAGCTCATCCCATAGTAAATTTATGTTGCTAATTGAACTAATCATAAACTTGGTGCAAGCTTGTTGCGGGTTTATGTTTCATTGAAAAATGAAAGGCAGAAGAAGTTGGTCATAAATCAAGTTTCGCAACTTGTGGTAATGTCATACTGTGTTTCTGTAGTGTCTCTTTTACTTCCTCCACCCATTTCTTTCTTGGTCGATTTCTTGCCTTGTAGTTTTCCATTGGCGACTGTCTCTTCTAGCTAGATACACAGGGCATTGAAATCTGACTGACTGACGTTCAACCTCACCAGGACCCACAACAAGTGATAATACCCGGCAATACAAAGTGTCACCATTCGACATTTGAGACCTACCGGTCACAGAACACGGAACTGCGAAAACCAGAGACCGCCTGTAGATATTTGTGGGGTTGGGAAAGGTGGTGGTGGGGGGGGGGGGGGGGGTTGAATTTAAATTGTTGTTAGTTTAACACAGCAAAGTTTGACAATATTGTATGTCCACTTCACAATTTCTATTTGTGGATTTGTAGTCCGACTACATTCAGAACACAACACTTTATAGGCACTTTAAAATGCCACACAACAAAAAGCAAAACGCTGGTCAGAAAAGTTGATCTATGACGTCATGGAACCCATGGAAGGCATTTCTGGAGAAGGCAGGTACCCTTAATATGGTTATGGCAGTGATTATATGAAACATTTCTTATTCTCACTAGGGAAAAGTGAACATGATAGTCACAAGTGACCACGGCATGACCAATATTGATTTACAAAACAAGGTAAGAAAATACTATACATTTGCTGTTATAGTTGAAACATGCAAATATGCTAGTTTTGAGTTGTGATTATTTGCCTTAATTCTGTGTGTTGCTGTGCACGTTACTTATCCTTGCAACATTCGCTTCAGACCGTAATGATCTATTCGCTTCTCTATTGTGCAAGTGCATATATATATATATATATATATATATATATATATATATATATATATATATATATATATATATGTGTGTGTGTGTGTGTGTGTGTGCGTGCATGTGTGTGCGCGCGCGCACACACACACACTTACACACATATATATATATATATATGAGCATTATATGAAACACCAGTTCAACATGTCATCGCTGTTGAAGGAGAGACATTAAAAAAAGCTAAGAAGTTTAAGTACCTAGGCAGTGTATTTACTGTGGATGGAGGTAGAAAACAGAATATTGAAGGCTAATAATATAAAATATCCAAAAGCCCCATTTCCAAAATGTTAACATGCACACAAAAAACAGTTGAGAAATGCACTATTCGTATCAACTTTGCTATCAATGTTAGACATGGGCAGTCCTAAGGATGGGGGTGGGGGGGGGGGGGGGGGGAATTGCAAAATTACATATAAGACAAGATGTTTAAGACTTGCGGTGAGAAAAATAAGACAAGACAGTCACCAAAGAAGAATTTATTTCATAGAACATCAAAGAATCAAGTGGTTTGGTTGTCTGGTCAGAAGGACAGAAAAATCATAAGCACCTAGAGCATACTATATAAGAACAGCAGGCTACAGGGCAACAGGCTGACAAAGAAAAATATGGGCACAGAGTAAAAGAAGAGACACTATGTCCGGAGTGCAATGATGATAACCCAACTGACTAACTAACTAACAGAAGAGAGGCTACAGAAATACAGTAAGACATTAACACAAGATATGCAACTAGCAAAAGACAGAGAACTACGTGAAACTCCACTCTTATCATGTTTTGCTGCATGAACAGTAGGACAAAAGAAGATATGAGCATTGCTGTATTATGTCTGTATTTGAAGAGCACAGCATACACATGATAGACATATTGAAACTGATAAATGTGCTAATATTAAAATATATGCAGACAGATGTATGTGAAATTATGAGCATGTTACTCTGAAAATGTACTGTCTGAATTGTAGGTCCTTTTTTCCCCTCTTTATTTCAGATTATTGATCTCTCCAATTATGTAAACAACACACTTCTTCATTCATTGGTTGACCAAGGGTCGATAGCTCAAATCCGACCGCAGCCAGGCATGGACAACCAACTTTTGGAGGCCTTGTCAGGGATCGAACATATGCAGGTTATGCTGAAAGAAAACATACCTGAACGCTTTCATCTGAAAAACAATAAAAGAGTTATGCCTTTATTTGCAATTGCTGATGAAGGGTGGACTATCACAGATGTAAGCTTAATATTTATGGTTGTATTTCTGTTACTTGATGTGTCCTCGTTAAACTTGGGTTAAAGAATACTGAAATGCTTTGTTGAACCAGGGCTGCTTTAACAAGCTCTTAATCATAGAATAAGAATGAGTAAACTAAGACCCAGAAGGCCGTGGAGAATTGATTTCCGATACGCATGCTGCGCATACAGTGTAAAACTGAAGTAACCAGCAACAACTTCCTGGAAATGGCCAACGAAATTCAACAACTATATGCAACGATAAGAAAGAGGCAGTCAGTGGGCGAAACGAGTAAAAGAAGAGTCACTGCAGAAACCCAGTAAGACATTACCACAAGCTACGCAACAAACAAAGGACAGAAAACTACATTAAACTCCACGTCATGTGATGAGAAGAGAGACGTTGGAGAAAATTTACAGTGTGCTGATGTTTATAGCCAAGATAGTTTCTTCAGGCCGGACTAATTGATGCTTTAAACCATTCTAGATGGAGTCTGCCTGACTGGATCTTCTTAAGTGTGTTCATTGAGTCTGTCACTATCAGTGCATGAGTTAGTTTCTGTTTCACCAGCCACGCAAGTGCCCATTTGACAGCCTTTGTCTCCATCGTCATACTAGAAGTTGTTAAACTGAATATGTGACTTTCTTCCTTTACTGTTTTCCAGTTCCCCTGTGCTGTGTGTGCTGCTCAGACAGCACTCAAAGAATCCTGGAGCTATCTGATAGACAGAGCCAAATCTGACCCGCGGAAACCTAGAAAATGGCCCGCTGATCATTAGCACACACATTGCAATAATGATCTTTCTAAAACGGAGGGGTGTCATAGATCCTTGAGGATGGTGACGACTTTCATTTACAGAAGACAAACGACCCTCATTTTCATCATTTGGGCCCCTGATTAAACTGAGTTGAATTAGCCTTGTGATAGACAATGACATATCAACAGTGTCTGCCAGTCCGTGTTCCGTCCATGTCATTTCAAATGGCTGTCAAGAATCTTCTGTTGTTTTCTTCCTCAATGTTTCTTTCCAATAATCTGCCCACTGTCAGAATGTTTCATTTGTTCCTTTCTGTAGCTCAAAAAATGTCACTGTCCTAGGCTCTTCCGGGCACGTATTGAACTTATAAGTCACCTCCAGACTCATAAACATTCAACTGCAGTTTCATGAGGGATGAAAGAAAGAGATGTCCTCATCACTTGTGATGGACAAACGAAGCTCAAAAATGCCGACTGCTTCTTTATGATGTTGGTTATGTTGTCTTCTTATCTCAGCCCCCATCAAAACGTATGTTGGCTGGTCAAAACGTATATTATTATAATTTTTTGTTTGTTTACATATCTCAGATTCTGTTATAGATATAAACGAACAACCTTTGTTAGCATCATATAACAGATAAAAATGCATTTAGCTATACTCATAATTCACTAAAATGTGAAAATTTTTTGCTTAGTTAATTTTTAATTTTTAATTGCTAAAAGAGATAATCGTTTGCATTGACATCAACTCCAAAATGTTTGTAATACATTGTACTCGTCTTAATAATACAAATAAATAAGATAATCAGTTTTTCCCCTTTTTTTTTCTAGAATGTCACAAAAGCTCGAATGAGAAAGTACAAGGGAAACCATGGATACGATAACAACTTAGAAACAATGAAACCAATCTACATTGCCAGGGGACCTGCATTCAAATCTGGGAAGATTGTTCGTCCTATTGAGTCTGTGGACATTTATCCTTTGATCTGTTATTTGCTGGACATTCAAACTGCACCAAACAATGGCAGTTTAGACAGAGCCGCTACATTGCTGAAGTACTATGGGAATGCAGTGCCACAGCTGTCTTCATGCTCACATCTGTTATGGTTCCTAGTTATTGTTCTGATTTTGACTTGTACTTTACTAGAGGAACATTTTTAATATGTCTGAGTTTTTTAATATCTTCTTCTTCATTTCGTTCGTCCGAGTGGTGTAAATACGCTGTGACTGTTTTCAGCAAAGCTTCGACATTTGTGTCTTTCAGCCGACACAACCAACTTCATTGAGCATTTGCTGACTGGGTTTCTACAGGTGTTGTTCCTGGAGAACCCGTTCAGGAAAATCACAAATAGACTTGTCAGCCAAGATGCGCTTTGACTCAGTCATTATTTTCATTTTGAATTAGAGAAGTTCAGCCACTACCTAGGAAGCTAGCCTCTTATATATAGCTTTGGTTATAATTGTGTCTCCTTATTGTGCTGCTAATTAATTGTGTATTTCTTGATGTTGGTGGTTCTAGCCACCTCTCATGTTTGTCCAGTCGAGTCTTCCTCGTGCTGAGTACAGGACAGTCGTCTTTGTGCTGATTGGTTGGTTTAGGCCTTGACAATGGGAAGGCAGGGGCAGATCATGGGTATTCCCCGTAATCCAAAGCTCGTACGTGGTGCTCTGCACAAAGCCATCAACCTGGCACACATACCACAGCCAAATAAACCAGACCATAAATATAACCTCTCAATAAGCCTGACACCCCTGCAACATAGGACACGCCCTACGAAACAACCAGAGATGAATGGTAATTGAAGTCACTCTCTTTCCGGAAACGACTTCGTGAGTTCTACCTAAGTGAGACACTGTAAGATGAATATTTGGGAGATTATTTTGAAATACGGTAGAACAGAGTAGACCCAAAAAAAATGTTTTAGTAAAAATATTTTTTTTTTAAATGTAAAAATTTATTATTCTCATGCCATACAATAGTAAATACCACAAGTGAGACAACAAAACACTGAATCACATTATTTCATATCCTCCAGACTGTCCCAAAAATAATATATCCATGCAGAACTTCTGGCCAAGAGAACCACAGATGGAAGCCAAACTTTATACGGGTCGCTGAGTGAATTAAAAAAGACTAAAGTTCACACTAGAGACAAGATTGTATATATAAATAAACTATTTCAAGCTAACAAAAGAAGAAGAATTTAATCACACTGACCATATTATATAAAAATGTTGAACATCTCTGCACAAAATCAAATGTACTTGCTGGTCACTACTATCTATCGATAAGAACAATAACGTTGAAACTCGAGAGATACATAGCATCTTACAATCGCAGGAATTAATACATCATGCGATATCTCAGGAATCATAATATGCAGAAGCATAGGATCTCTCATTTATGGTTTTTAGTTTCCTACGTGCTTGAATAAATCACAGAAATTTGAATTTCAAGTAGAGAAACATCACAATAACAGTATTAACACAATTCTTTAATATTAATGGTATGATGAGTGAAGTTACAGTCCCATTCTCCGTTTAAGTTCATTCATTCATTTACTCATTCATTGTCCTTGTGTGTATTTATAAGTCACATATGGCTCATAGTAGATTCCTCGTTTCCGTTCTGTGTCCTCTGCAATCAGCTGAACTGAGTTGAGCTTTCCAGTCTAGAAGTTGAGTTCTTCAGAACTAGTTCCAGACAAGCATACATCCATGTTTCATCAGTTATTCTTTATTGCTATCTATCTAAGGCAGTAGCTCTCAACCTTCCTAATGCTGCGACCCTTTAATACAGTTCCCTCATGTGGCAACCCCCAATTATTTTCCTTCATAACCAATTAATATGTGTTTTAAGATGGTCTCAGGTGACCCCTGTGAAAGGGTTGTTCGATTTAAAAAACAGGTAGCGAATGGCAGATTGAGAACCACTGATCTAAGGCAATAAAATAGCTGACATATTGGCCATATTGTCCAGAAGTGGCAGTGAAATGGGGCAATCACATAGTGACTCAACAAACCAAGAGAGAAATGTCTTGGAAACCAATGGTAACAGCAGTTACAAGACAGAGAAGATGGCATTATATTATACACATCTTTTCCATCTACGAACAGGACACTGTAGGTTCAAATACCACATGCGTAATAAAAAGACTGTACAGTCCCCACAGAGGGCCTGTCAAACAGGACCACAAACACCTGAGCACATTATGCAGACCTGCCCATTCTACCTACAACTTCGAAAAGACACCTGACCTCAAGAGCAAAGTGTGCAGTGCAAGCTATAGGGAACCAAGAAGGACCTGCAGCTGACATGCGAGTTCATAGAGGCAACCCACCTGATGGTCTGATCTGAGCATATGAAACTGAACGCAAAGAAGAAAGTAGAAGATACACATCCTGAGGAGAAATGAGCAGAGAATCATCAAGCAGGCATTAAAATGGGAAATGAAGGGGACTGAGCAAGCAAGGATGTCCAAAAGAAACCCTAAAACAAACATTCATGAGAGAAGCCAAGGCTGCTGGACTGGATTCCAACCATGATAACGAAAGGATTTCACAGGATATAACAGAATGGAGGAATACTGTGAGCCCTGTGTGACATATAATGGCACAACAGAACAACGATGACTGTTTGCATTAACAGTAACTCCCAAGTGCTTTGAAAACACAACTGCTTTTATTCACACAACATGACTGACAATTTTTTGTTTAAAATTTCGGTAATAGTTATATTGGTCTCCCCATGGACCACCCATATACACACTAGCTCACTTCTGATTGGTCGACCTTCAGTCACCTGACCTTTGCACGCTGCTATGGGGGTGTTCAGCAATGCCGTTCATATCGCCTGTTGTATATTTTAGCACACCAGCACTTTTAACACTACAAAAACATTTAGAAACTGGGTCTAACACACAACTCCCCTAGAGAGTGCTGCAACCTATGTCACAGGCATTTTTTTTCTCAGAAGAAAAACGTAAATGCAAGACTTGCCAGAAAGGAAACAAAATAGCGGCAACCCGTAACCCCCCGGACAGCAGACAGTCTAAAATATTTTTGAATGGAACATGACCTACTTTCCGGGGGGAGACCAACGTTTAAAAAACCCAAATTTCAACCCAGAATGTCACAATGGCTAGAATGACCAATAACAAAAGGTGACCATGGACAAGTTACAAACGATGAAAGCAATCTTTATTGTCAGAGGAGCTGAATTCAAATCTGGGAAGAAAGTTTGTCCTACAGAGCCTATGAACATTTATCCTTCGATTTGTTATTTGCTGGACATTCAAACTGCACAAACAGTTTACACAGAGCTGCTACACTGCTGAAGCATTATGGGAAGAAAGTGCTATAGTTGTCTTTGGGCACAGAGTTGATATGGTTCCTGGTCACTGATATGATATTTAATAATTTACTACAAGAACCTCTTTAATATATTTGGATGTTGGCATGCATGAACACACAAATACTACTAAAATAGTGGGTCATCAAAGACTGCCTCTTAAAAGAGATGGTAAACAACATGTAACTTCTGCGGTAAATACAAAAGATAAAACTAAACAGTAAAATCTACTAATGCTGACACTTTGCAGGACTAGTGATGAAAAACAAAACAATAACCTCCCAAGTTCATAGCAAAAATAATGTAAAAATTTCTTTGCCCCCCACTCCCCTCCCCTAAATAAACTGGTGCTGTATAAAGTCAACAATAAAGCACATATACACACATAAAAAATGAATCAAAATAGAACAAAAAACTGGCAATAATTTGTAGAAATATAATTTAATAATAGTCTTTACATTGAACAGTCACTAACATTTTATATAATTTCTTCAGTGGAAATGTTCTGTTTGTTCACTGTATAATGTCTACTACACAGGGGTAACTTTTTAGATTTATCTTGCTATAATGTTTTTGTGCCAGGGCATGCAGGTGTAAAAGGAAATGAACAAGCTGACAGACAGGCTTGTGAGTAGGACTACTCTGGAGGGCGAACAAGAAACAGACCATGAAGACGCACTAAATATTCTTTAAAAAAATTAAGACTTTATGCAAAAAATGTGACGACTGTGAATATGCAACCATGACCAAACTGCCACACACACACGCACATAAAAACCAACAAAAAACAAGCAAAAGATGAGCCCAGACAAAAGCATAATGCAGGAAGCAAAAGAATAAACTAACACAGAACTGTACTGTAGATTAATGTACTCTGCTGATGAAGGGTATAGCCGCAATATTCACTTGTCATTTATGTTTATGAAGCTTCTACTTTTAGTTGGTTTGGTATCTTTTCATAGCACAGTACTAATGTTAACATCCACTTACCATGGGGAATATACTTAGGAGGGAATCCAAGAGTTCACAGACTGAACAGTTTGATGATAGGTGAGAAGCGAAGGAATGAACAAACAATTTTTAAATATAGATCTGTCTATCAGCTAATATTTTTCCCCTGTTTATCTCCAGTGACCAGAAGAATGTAAAAGAAACATCAAACATGAAATTTTTATAATCACACAAATGTAGTTTTCAAATGTTCTTCATAAACTCTCAAAGCATCATCATGTTTCATTTGTAACAAAGCATTTTTCTTCTCCAGTTCTTCAGCTCTTTGTTTCTCTGCATTTTCATCCATGATTTCACGGATTCTATTTTTAACCAGCTCTGTGTTTTCTCTTTTCATTGCTGACATTCGAAATATCTCATGAAACTTGGGCAGGTTTTTGGGGTGAAATGATTCATCAACTTCTTCCAAAGAATCTGTAACAGAGATTAATCAAACATTGTTAAGTGTTATCTTTTGGAAAAGTCGCTGATATTTACTTTGAAAGTTGATTCAGTTTATAAGCCCAAACACTCCTCCATATATTCACACATTCTGTTTATTAAATACTTGCTAACTTTTAGTTGTATAGGAAATCATTAGTTTTATGCACTTTCTTACTAATTTTCAAGTGCTTATTATCATCATCTGCAATATTTAAATTGTTATAACATTATTCATTTGATTAAAAAATTAATTATTTTAAAATCCTTAACAAAAGAAACCAAATTCAAATTCAACTAACATTTGTTTTTTGTTTTTTTCAACTAAGGAAAAAAAGACATAAAACTATGGAAGTATTCTATTTTGCAACTACTGGCATTTCACATAAGCAGGCAACAAGGTAAACCAAATAATAGATCAAATGAAAGAATTAAAAAACTGGAAGTATGTCAAGTTTAAACAAATGTGTAAAAAAAAAAAAAAAACTTTTCTTTAACAGGGAGCAAATATAGGTAACAAAGCTTCTTTCTTTACAGGACTTTGCAAAACCAACTGTGGAAGTTGTTGTTGTTGCTGTTTGTATGTTCAGTAGTTTGCCAATGCTTTTTTAACAGTCAGCTTTAGATACCACTGTCAAAACCAGTGCAAGGTGGTCTGCTGCCAAATTGCCTGCAGCTTGGACTGAACCAAGCGTCTTGGAATTATGAAGCACATTCACAACACCTAAGCCACAGGTGCCAACAAATATAGGTACGCATGAGTAAAACAAGATGGGACATGAAATATTTTTTAAGAGGGTTCTGTGGCAGTGCAAAGATGCTAGTCTGCTGACCGGAGTCTCTTGAATTTGAATAAATATTGAAGCAGACTGTTATACTTGATGGCCGACCTAGCGACAGCGAATGAGGAAAAGGCAAAATTGATACTTTCTGAAGCCTTGCTGTAAACCACACAATGTTCTATCCACCCTTTTAACTCTTTGGAGACACAGCCTTTTTGAAGTTTCAGTGCAAAAAAAACGGAGCCTTCAGGAGGGGATTCTCTTACACACACACAAAATTGTACAAAATAAAGCGTTTAATTACCATATAAAACTATACATATTTGTGTAGGAAATGGAACGAGCTAACGGAACATTTATGAATCAAACTGAAATCTCAACATTTATTCAAATTAACTATTCTGATTTGCATAATTTATGCAAGCATGTTTTTCACTTGGGAGCAAACATGACTAACCTAAAAAAATAGGGATTAAAATTTTTATGGATGAAGCCTAATAAGTCCTAACACTTGTGTTTTGGGAAGTAAGGCCCATGGATGCCCTTCAGACACTTCTGGCACATGATTCTACTCCTTTTCCTGCCTCCTGCTATGTTTCGGTTGCAATAACACAACAGTCCTTTTCGCCATGTTTCCCACTGGCCACCCCACACACAAAAATCAATGTAAATTACAGACCATATCAAACTTTCTCAAAAACCGTCCCTGAAGAGCCCACATGTGCAAGAAATGCGAGAAGCAATCTGACTGGCGGTACGAAAACCTGCCAGCCAATCTCAAGGCTTGTGTTATATAGGGCTGACCAATCGGCACCATCGTCTTTTGGGCTATTTTGAGTCAGGCCGATAAATCTGCTGCGTCGTCTCAAAAGGGTTAAAGATGAACGCAGAAGGAGAATATTTTCTGCAAAATTTGTGACATGTTGGCTGTATGACTGGGGAACAACAGAAAATGAAGACACATGCCACCTCCAGGGGGAAAAAAAGGTACAGGTGTCTGTAGCTAGAAATTATGGAGAAGAAGTTAAATTATTTTCTGTTAAACAATATACTAAAATAAAAAAGAGGCATAAACGGCACCAACAAATCTGTTGAAATATGTTTAAAGCAAAGACATACCTGGCAAGTTTTTGACCAAATCAAAAAGCCTGTCTGTTAAGTGACCTGATTTATCTGTATCTATTTTATTCAGTGCCATAAATGAGGGTTTTTCTAACATTCCATGACCATACTCATCTAATTCCTGAAAATGAGATACAGAAATTAACATAAGAAAAAAAAAAGAATTATATTGTGGTAATATTGAAAAAACTTCCATAATGAATTAAATGAAAGGCACAAAATATTATTTACTGTTGAAATCTTAGGTTTGTGACAAAGTTTCAAGGCGAGAGGACTAGTTTTATTGCACCAGGTTTTATTTCGTATGGCTTGGTCTGTTAGGAAGCAGCCGCCTGTCCCCAAAGGGTGGCGCACAAATAAAGCAAGGTAGCTCCAGAAACAACATGCCCCTCTGAGATCTAACAAAGCCCAGAACCAAATCTACAACCTGTAGAGTGTAAAGCCAACAGCCTAACCACTTTACCAGAGATAACCAACAGCCTCCAAGCAGTGATGAAAACAGGTAACACGCTACTCATGTTATTTTCCCTTCAGGCTGCTAGCTGAAGATATGACCACCCCTGTTATGTGAAGAGCTGCAATCTGGATGGCAAATCAACAGGGCAAATCGCAGATACCCGGTTAAACCTATAAAGAAGTTATAATTACAGCAGCTGGCACAGCTACCCCAAATGCTAACTTGGTGAACTCCACAGTCCTGAGTGGGTTAGGGACTGTGATTATTAGTGTACTGTTGTGGTGTTTTCTGTATTTTTATTAAAAAAGAAAAAATACTTAAAATCAGTGAGATATAAACAAAGCTCCTCAAAAAATAAACAACGAATCTAAAAAAAAAAAAATGTAAACAACCATGTTCAATAAAAACATGTCCTACCTGTTTACTTTCAAATTACTAAATTACATTTATTTTATGTTGGTCTAGTAGGTGATTTAAATTTGCAAATTTGTAAAACATTACCTGAATAAGCAGTAAAAGTGCCTGAAATGCAGATCTCTCTGGGTACTTGAATGACAACTGAAATGGGTTTATATCCAAAACATATAACAAGAGTTTTGTTCTTTCCACATGGCGTAAAAATTTAAAACCCATCCCAAAATTCTGGCTGGCTCCTTCTATCAATCCTGGCAAATCAGCCACAGAGATCTGAAATCAAATAATTATTTTCATTTTTAATTCCTTATGTGGCTTTAACTACTGAAACAAAAGCGTCATACAAGAGATTTGATTCGTAATACATCATAAAAATAAACCTGCCGAATGAGAATGAATACCCCTTTATGTCATACCAAACGAAGGACATACAAAGAAAGAAAAGGGATGCAGAATCAAGGCAAACCAAGAATAAAATGGAAATATGACATGTGAGAAACTTTACAACAGTAAGAAGTCTGTATGGTCAAGGCAGGCAGAAAAATGCGAATCAGAACACTAATTCTCTTATCACTCAAAGCAGTAAAAGAGGAAATGAAGAAGAAATGAATGCATGTGTTGCTGCTGTTATAGATCTAGCAGAACGAGGATAATTATCTACTGTTTAACGTAAAGGAAAGGTAGACTAATGCCATTTAAAAAATACACAAATGGGATATAGTGATTCATACAAATGTTTACCAGCTGATACAGTGCAGACCGTTCAAGGCGATCTCAAATGCAGTAAATTTCTGTTGTAAAGAACAATTTGTTTACCCTCCACAATTTTTCTTGCTCAAATTTCAATCTGGATAAGAGGAATTTCTGATAAGAAGAACCATTTCTTGAGTCCCCTGTGAGTTCTCGTTATCAGGTCTGCACTATATTTTGCTTTATATAAAGAATTCAATTAAACTGGCTTTGGTGGATGCAATTATTTCTTCAAGTAAACATAAAGCAACACAATACACAGGTAAACAATAATAACTGTTTACTTAAACAACGATGCTATGTCTTGGTAAGATTTACTTATTTCTAGATTTAACATTATATGTGCTCAGTCTCCATCAGCAGAGGTGATGACACCTTTGAAGCCAAAAATCAGTTCTCTCACCAACAGACTCATGCATAACCTGGCTAGTACAGTGTTTCCCCAAAATAAGCCTTAATAATATTTTTTGGCAAGCGTATAATATAAAAAGTTAGTTGCTTTTTCTTTACAGGACGTTGCAGAACCAAGCCAAGCATTTTTTTGGCTGTCATGGTTTTTCTAAGCAAATTTTACGTTCATTAGTTTGCCACTGCTTTCTGTTCATTAGTTTGGCACTGCTCTCTGAATGGTCACTTTTCTGTACCACAGTCGAAACCAACACAAGACGGTCTGCTGCCAAATCGCCTGTAGCTGACATCAAACCCAGGCAATTCGGCATTATTAAGCGCATTCGCAACGCCTAAACCACAGACACTGACTCGTATTATAAGCCTGGGTAAACCGACTATTCAAGACACAGTCATCCACAAAGGACCTTCTGACATCATTTTGTTGAAACACTAAATTCCAAATTAAAGACTTTTTTTTATACTCTGCACTGAACATATTTTCTAATTTGTAATCCATTACTTTCAATAATACATTTGCACTATGGATTTCTATGGAATTCCTAACTAATCCAACATTAATTTAAATCTACAATGTCTCAATGGCAACGTGGTTAAGCCATTTGCATCCTGCACTAAAGGTTAAGGAGTTGGCTTTGAACTCCACTGTTCAGTTCAAGAGTGCGGCTGTTTCAGTGTTCACTGGGAGACTGTGCCAGGAACTATGATTTGTGTGCTTTGTGTGACGAAGCTATCTGGGATAAACCCCGCATAATTTAATCAAGCACTTCATCTTTAAACCCTCAAGTCTACAGGGTACCATTAGTTAGATCATTATTTTGTTCCATTATTTATTTTGGCATTGTCTTTGCACCTCTTCCCTTCTCAATAATAAACAGGAATTGTTGAATTTGGTCTCACTAAACATGGCTAAACAAATTTACAAAAAACTCCACAACAATGAATCAAATCTGCTAATGTAATTCTGCAAAATAGACATTTTACAGTACAATATAGCTGTTCTTTCTACCTTTCTGCCATCTTGATACTCCATTATACCAATTTGGGGTGATAAAGTGGTAACTGTGGAAACAAATAATAAGTTTGATACATATATATATATATAAATATGTATACGTTCATGCATAATATTAGGCAAGGTACAGAAAATGACCATAGGCAACAATATATACAAATTTGTGTACGTTAATAAAGCAGAGGCTTGTGGAGTAGTTACAACGTCGGTCTCTCGTGCAGGAGACCCTGGTTTGAACCAGGATCTGGTGATGGAATTTTATTGTCGGGGTGAAATTAAACATCCTAACTTGTACAGCCCATGGCAAAAGCAACAGACATGCGTTGGCTCAAGACCCCCTGTCTACAGTACCATAAAAAGTGGTCTATACAGACAGTAGTGACAGTTTCTCATTTTGTTTTTTTTAAAAAGAAATTATATTAAAAGTGTAACTAAAGCGGTCATACACGATCTAACAATTAGATAATGCAACTGATTTTAGAATGACCAAACCAAAAATACCATCCATGAAGCAAAGCATATCATCAAGGCACCGTTCATCAATGATGTGGCAAAACTATAATTCCTCTTGATCAGCAGACAACAAGTAACCTGCCCTTTGATTCAGCTAGTGAAAGTTGCCCCATTAAGTATGCAGCATGGAACCAAAGGTAAACACTGATTTTGTTTTAACTCTGAAAAGTGCTCCTGAGACAGCTGAATTGAGATAAGTTTATGAGGATTAATGTTTATCCTTTGCATGAGGTGGTATTTACAATTCACAACTGGCGTGGAAAAAACTAAAGACATTCTATTTCTGTTCATAATGATAAACTCACTGATAAAGTCAGAGAATGGATATGTGAAGAGTGATTTCTGACAGTAAGGATGATTGTAAATGAATATTGTGTTGCATCTGATAAGCAATTATTCTCATAAACTTATCTTATTAATTTAACTGGGAAAAAAACATTTAACACAACTCACTAATAAACGTGTAAACAACTTTCTTTATATTTTTTAATTTGTTTTGAAACAAGATGTATAAAGGAAGTAATCAATAAGCACGAATGTAGCGAATCAATAAATGGGGCCTAAAAATAACATTTATCTGGCGACTCATGCTGTGACCCTGTGACCTTTAACATTAATGCAACGGAAATATTGTGACACCAAGATGGCTTTTAGAAAGCCATTTGCTTTAAAAGAACCCACCCACCATATTGCTATTTTGGGTAAATATATTTATGTCTAGGCCTATTAAATGCTGTTCACGCCTGAAAAGAACCAATAACAATAAACTACTCCTCAGTACTCTCCACAAAGTGGTCTAAAAAGAGTTAACTGTATACAACACAAAGTGTCTATTACTGTAGAACTGTTAAAAAAAATAAGATACCTAAAACAGTCCTGGCATTATGTACTCATGCATACAGAAAGAAAAATAGCCCTGGCTACATAGATTATTCATTACAGTATGGTGTAGAAAGGAAGCTACAGTAGTGTAGTGGCCGGAAGCTTGCCTGCCAGCCTGAAGGTCTCAAGTTCAAATCCACATCCAGGTAGATGTTTTTTTTTAAAACTGACCTAGACTCCCAGGTCAGCTCAGCTTAAATAGGTACCAGGTAATGTCCTGAGAAGTAGAGGCAGCTAGTGTGATGGTGACCACACCATCTACTCAGGCTGATTTATAAAATATATGAGTCTGGATTTAAATGACCAAAATGCCAATGATGTAAAAAAGGACTATGTCTAAAGGATTTCTGACTATGGGGTAGAAACAAGGACCATGAACACAACCAACAACAAAAATGTGAGAGCAAATACTTACAAGGAAAGGCTGTTATTTTTGGCTGGGTTCTAGATATTGCTTTGAGAAAGGTCGACTTCCCTGCATTTGGAAATCTGTCATCAGGAGGGGAAAAAATGTACAAATACACAAACATGTGAGCACATAAAAGTAAGTTGTGAGTGTGTGCGTGCGTGTGAAACCATATCAGGCCTTTTTTTCCAAGGTATCATCTTCTGTATTTGCCCTTAAGGGGCACTGTACACTGTGTTGTAGTTCGCAGCTATGATGTGATATCTATGCCTTTCAACCTATTATTGTTGATTTCAACAAACACCTAACTAGTCGCCTGTTACTACCCGCTTGCTGGGTAGGTGAGGGGGGGGTGGAGGGGGAGGGGGGGTTAAGTTGATTCCCCCCACTAATGCGGCCAAGGAAACCATTTAGGGAGTATTTTTTCAAGGCAAAATAGTCAGCATATCAATCATACTGATTATCTCTTGATGTCTACCTATTTAATGAAGCTTGGTGGACCCCAGTGCAGTACAGAACACACAATACCAACCCTGCCAAGACTAGATTTTTGAAGCCAGGACCACCATTTCATGTGGGTGTGTGCCCAAAATGTACCCAATCAATCCAACACCTGCATGACGTCTTACAAACAAAACATCACAACAAGAAAGTGTATACAACCAATTCAACATTTACCACAAGTCTTACAAGCAAAACAACTAAATAGGAAAATGTACCCAGCCAATCCAACATTTATCATAATCCTTACAAACATAACAGGAAAATGTACCTATCCAATCCAACTTTTACCAAAAGCCTTACAAACATAATGGAAAATCCACCCATTTAATCCAATATTTTCTAGTAATCTTACAAGCGAGCGCATACTCACACACACACACACAAGCAGATACATCTTCTCGAATTCCTACAAATATAACAGACAAATTTACCCATCCAATTTAACATTTACCACAGTCTTACAAGCAAAACAACAACAAAGGAAAATGAACCCAACCCATCCAACATTTACCAGAAATCTTACAAACACAACAGGAAAATGTACCTATCTAACGAACATTTACCAAAAGAGTCTTACAAGTAAAAACAACAAAAATGAGTACCCATTCAATCCAACAGTTACTAGAAGTCTCATTAATTTCGGTGTAATGTTGACCACATACCCACCAAGTACCGACTGGTCTATAAAACATAGGTCTAGCCCTATTTGCCCAATATGTCTGAAGGCATGGGAAAGGACCCTCTACTGTTATTTTTTGTTATTTTTTACTTACAAACATAAGAGGAAAAAGTACACGCCAAAATGACAATTTACCACAAGTCTTACAAGCAAAATAACAAAACAAGGAAAAAGTACCCAACTAATCCAACATCTGCCAGAAGCTTCAACTCCAAGGCTATCAGATTTCTCTCCCCTCTCAAGCCCAAGAAGTTTGTGGCATTGTTACCACCTTTGCCCCCCTGTGCTGCAATGCAGGCGTCACCATCGTTGTTGAGATCAACTAAAAAAAGTGAGACATAGAAAACATTCAAAATGAATGTAACAATCTGTTCCAGGGCTCCATTTTGGGGAGAGAAAAAAAAGAGACTCACAGTTACCCTAACAAGCATGTCTTAAAAGATTACAAGGCGAGGTTGCCTTCAAAGTTGGAGTGCATCTGTCTGAGGCATTGAATCAACAGTTTGTAAACAAAAAGGTTATATTTGTGAAACAGATGTGCACATAAAACTAATGTTCTGGGACAAGACTAAAGTCTAGAAGCAGATGAACAATTAGAACTTTCTGATGGAGTTTACAGACAGTGAATGCGAAAAAAAAAATTATACTACAACAGTCAACATTTCATCATAGCTGATAATTTCCGTATCTTATATCCAAAGGAAAGTAGAATCAGTGGTGTGGTGAGCATTACAAATCTCTCTCTCTCTGGAAATAAAACACGGAGTTGTTTTATTTCACAACCAAAGAAATCAATGTTAGCATAGAAGCCCACATTACGCCCTAAATGATGTTCTGCCAAGGTGTTTCCTACCCATTTAACCATGTTACCCCAAAAAGACTAAATCTAGTTACTTTCAGCTGCAGCTGTCTTGTAAATGCTGATGTATCAGCCTGTCTGCAGTGACCTGTTCTCAAAACCTGTGGTTAAATGCCACTGGTTGTATTTGCACCTGCAAGACCCAGATTAGAATATATTAACTAAAATTGTATTTATGGGAATTTTCTTGTGAACCCAGTGGCTTTTCAAAAGCCATTTTGACGTCAAATTTTACTGCAAACCTCAGAGACAGAGTTCACTTGGTTCTGGCATGAATGACCCAACACATATTCATTTTAGGCCCCAGAGAATCTTTTTTCTTGTCTGCGTTTACTAGCTGTAAACTATGGCGGACAGTTCTGCTTGTTCATCCCCCTCTGGACGTTAGACTTGTTCCATAATCTGAGTGGTGTGTGCAAATCTGTTTTACATATCTGAATTATCTGTGTGCAGACTGTTGGTTCCTTGCTTCTGTCCCCCCCCCCCCCCCCCCCCCCCCCCCCCCACCCCACCCCCCACCCCCAGGAATGCATTCCGTTTAATTTTATGTTCAAGTTTATTGATTACTCCCTACTACATATATCATTAACAATTTCAGCGAGCAAAAATTTAGATAAATCAATGTTTCAAAATGTATTAGTTACCTGTGTAAAATGACTGCTGATTTTTTTTTTTTTTTTTTTTAAAGAATTTATTTTCTTATAGAATTTGTGTGTGCTCATGACCCATTTTTCTTAACATTGGTGTGGCAAAAAAGCTTAAGGGGTATTATCTATTCAGTACATTTCTGGCCTTCCCTCTTTATTTTTTTTTTCTGGGACTATTCCATTTTGTATATTGCTGGAGTGTTGGACAATACAGAAACGATCATGCTACTGGCATTTTGTCAGTTGATGACATAGTGTGTAGTTACCTATTTTTCCATCAGCTGTATGAACTAAAACTCCAAGAGGAACATTCACATGCAAGTCAGCACCTCGGTCACCAAGCAGGCGAAATTTGCTGGAAGAATAACAATGATACAATAAATGACTGCGGAGGGGAGGAAGAGAGAGAGAGAGAGAGAGAGAGAGAGAGGGGGGGGGGAGAGAGAGAGAGAGAGAGAGAGAGAGAGAGAGAAACAGGGGTGGGAAGGAAGAAAGCAAGGAAGGAAGACACAGGCACTGAGAAAGAAAGACAGAAATAAAGACAGAACAAAAGTGTGAGAGAGAAGACAGTAAGAGTATGACAGAGAGAGAGAGAGAAACAGGGGTGGGAAGGAAGAAAGCAAGGAAGGAAGACACAGGCACTGAGAAAGAAAGACAGAAATAAAGACAGAACAAGGATGTGATAGAGAAGACAGAAAGAGTATGACAGAGAGATAGAGAAATGGAGAGAGAAAGAGCGAGAGAGAGAGAGAGAGAGAGAGAGAGAGAGAGAGAGAGAGAGAGAGAGAGGGATAAAGCACAAATAAAAAAAAATTAAAGAGCAAAGAGATATATATATATATATATACAGAGACTCTAGCAAGCAGACTGAAGAGAGTTGGTAAGCCACACAATGATAAAGAGGAACCCCCCAAAAAAGGAAACTCAGATCAAAGTCAACAATGAAATAATAATTAGTGTCACCATAAATAAATGTTTCGTCACTGTGAAGTATCAAAGCATCTTACAATTCTTTAATCTTAACAAGAGTCTTTGTTACAATTAGAAAATAAATAACTTATTTGAATTAAACAAAAAATAAAACATAAAAATTGAACATACTCGCTGTTCTCTCCTCTTTCTGCCTTGCACATCTGAAGTGGGTATTTCTGTAACACATGACGTAAAGTATTTTCCTTTTTGCTAGCCACGACAATCACTTTGCCTCCATCTCCACCAAAACCTCCATATTTTGGGAGACCCTGGCCACCTGCTCCTCCACATGCTTGAATTTGTAAAAAGTCGACAAATGCAGGCAGCGATTTCTGAGAACAAAGTTAAAATAACATTGGAAAATTATCGTATGCCACAAAGCAGATTATTTGTGTTACATTCAGGCTATCCTCGGAATAATGGTCCCAAATTATTGAGGCCGAATATATGCCCTAACAGGGCCTCATTCACATGTAAATTGCGGCGACTACACAGCATACCACGGAAAAGCTTCCGCCGAATTAAAGTCACCGCCGAGAGTATCTCCTACGCGGAGCGGGGCTAAACTAGATGGCTGGGACTCACGAACAGCAGCTACTGCATCTCCTGCAGCTTAATTCATTTTAATTGCTGGTGAGTCCCAGCCCTCTAGTTTAGCACCAATCCGAGCATAGTCGCGCGGAAGATACTCTCGGCGGTGGCGGTATAGTCACCAGAAAGAGGTCTGCAATATAGATGTGACAGAGGCCCTGTTAAGGTATATTTTCGGCCTCGATACTCTGGGACCGTTACTTGGAGGATAGCCTACATTCACAATGGAAAATGATTATGTCTCAAAGTAGAAGGTGTCCGAGCATAGCTACATTTACAATGGAATATGACTCTCTCCTTTACTGAAGAATGTGAAAACAAAAGTACATTCAAAATGGAAAATGACTGTTCAAGTAAGTTTCAAGGCAGAATGTGTTTGTAACATCTAAAATGGAAAATGGTTGTATGCCTCACAGTAGAATGTGTCTGAGCACATTTTAAAATCATGGAGTAGCAGTTTCTTTCCTTATTGTGTTTGTTGCCCTTGACTGTTCAAAAGTCTGTTGGTTGTTGAAGTCTTAAGAAAAGGGATGAGTATATGTCTGGGATGAAAAGAATAAAAAGGCCAAAGAGAAGATAAGTTCCGGGTGTGGCGGAGGATTTCCAAATGGGTGTATCGGACGCGGGATATCTTACTTGTGATCAAAATGTTTTATGGAGTGTTGTTATAGGAGCAAGGGTTTTGCAAAGCGCATATACTTACTGAGTTTTACCGAAATCTGACCATCGCTCAATTTGTGCTGACAATTTGACAATTCATTCACAAAACTGGGTAGGTAGCGCAGTCATTAAATCTGCTTTGTTTGTTGACTGGCTGTGTTAATTAAGTGTCGAAGGTGGGATGCATGAAGTCTAGTCTTGTCTTAACTTACTGAGAAACAAACTGAAGTAACTGACTGGACTTAAATGTTGAATTAGGAATTGACATCCCAGCACTCAGGACACTCACCTTTCTCAACATACTCTGTGAGTCAGTTACAATCACTGGCTATCCTCCGAACAACAGCCAGATATTATGGCGGCCAAAAACACACCCTGACGGGGCCTCAATCACATTGCAGACTTCCATCGATGAACACATCGCGGCAAAACTAGGATTACTGTATGTTGACAATTTCAAGAAACGCAACAATACACACGATAATAGCGATATGGCGGGGAGACCACGCGCTCTGACACGGGTAAGCAATAGTGTTCTTCCGATTAAACTCACCGCCGAGCGTATCCCCCACGCTGCTACGCTGGTGTGGATGGGGGGGGGGGGGGGGGGGGCTAAACTAGATGGCTGGGACCAGCAGCTACCGCATCTCCTGTAACTTCCTCCAATTTATTTGTTTGTGAGTCCCAGCCATCTAGTTTAGCGCCCCCCCCCCCCCCCCAATCTGCGCCGTGTGTTGTGGCATGGGAGATACTCTCGCCGGTGAAAACTGCGTTACCAATGCAGTCCGATCATATTTAGCTGAGTTTCAAAGTCGCCACAGCCACGAAGAGCAGATTTTCGGGCACTATTTGCAACTTTTGTGCCACCATTTTCAGATATAAAGGCCTCAATTATCGCTAAGTAGTCGATTTCGTCATTTTCCTTTTTTTTCGTTCCTTATTATTTTCAATTTTTTTAAAGTTTACAACATACAACATAATGAGAACCTGTCAGGGTGTGTTTTTGGCTGCCACAATATGCGGCCGTTATTCGGAGGATAGCCCAATCACTACATGACTGTGTAGAGTACAGCTGATTCTCAAGCCAAGCCAGCAGCAGAGAGAGACCGCCTCCACTTCCATTCTCAAACTTGACGTTGTGATATCATATGCAAGGCTTTGCTGCACCATGAAACCTCCATTCGCCTATGCTATAAAACCCCATGCACCTCATCCACCTCTCAACACAGAGCCATTTGTGTTTTGTCGTTGTGTAGACTCTTTACATGGACTGACGCAGTTGAGTGGCGATGGCGTATAAGTATATTATAAAAAAACGGCGCTTCTTTGATTTGTTCCCCAAAATGGCGGCATGCCACATTCTGGCCATAAAATATCCAAAAATATCCGAACGACGGTGTTCGCGTATATCTAAAATACGGATTATCTGCTAAGGAACAAATCGCGGCAAATCTAGGATTGCTTGACAATCAATATCAACATTTGCACATGGTAGTAGTAGCAGACGATAAATACAGACCGTTGACAACAATTTCGTGGCGCGGTGATTTCGGTCACAGGCATGAGGGGAAGTTAAGTCTGATGTGATGTGTATAAGGAGATATTCCGTACCCCACTCGGGCGCCAGTCCTTCACTGTTCTGATTTTACGGAACCTCATGCAAGACTCCTGTTGCACGTCCCCGTCGTGCGCCACGGATAATGTCTCAAATGAGCATTAACAGAGTTGGCAGGGGATCTCGGAGCTGGCGGCCCCTAGAGGTGTAGAGTCCTTTCTGGCTCTCACCAGCCCGCCCCCAAACGCATGGGTGAAAAGTAACAAAACTCAAGGACTGCTTGCTAAATGTACCATCAAATGACAACTCTTGGTTAAAATTCGGGAGCGAATGGAAAACTGTGCTGCTGAGACTCAACCCTGACCGAGAGATTTACCCGCAGCCAAGACAAGTAACATCTCTTGTGGGCGACTTCTCGCAGCAAGATCCCACCTACGTACATCCTCTGTCAATCCTCAGTGTCGTCGTCACCGCGCTGAGGTACACCATGGCAGCAACTATTCATATGCTGGCTTGAAAACAATGTCCGACAAAGTTACACCCCACGGCACACATGCAAGCTCAAAGTCCGACGATCATAACTCGTACCGATTAGGAAAAGTCTGAATGTCTATATCCACTGGGACCAAACAGGTGAAGCCACGCCTGACACATTTTGCTTCCTCATTCTGTCGTGCTAAGGGCACAGCTGAAACAACGTTAAAGGTGTCTAACGTAAGATGAAAAAGAATGTACCTATTTGTGTGGCCACAAACGTCCTAGACCTGCGGGCTGCTCCCCGCTGATCTCCGGAGAGCGCAGCCTTGTAGCGCGGGAAGCTCAATACACGGTTGTGAGGTTAAGCAGTCATGGGCAGGACGTGACGATTCCTTGGGTGAGCCCAGAACCAGAGCATCATGTGTTGGCTCTGCATCTATGGAAGCCTCCTTGGATGGCGGGGAATGCCCATGATCTGCCCCTGCCTTCCCTTGAGGGCTGAAAACTCTACATAGAGCTGCCTTAAGGACGACATGCCTGGGGCCACACCTGTTAAAAGTCAAAGAGGACACCACACAAATAAGGCAACATCTCGACCCACACAAAACAATGGCCACAGTCAACCTAGAAATAGGCTTGACGTCTTCCTCCGAAGTCGGAGTACATCTGCCGGAGAGGCGGGGAACGAGTACTGCAAACAAATAAGCCAGTAAAACGGATGTACACGCAAAACTCAGGTCAAGGTAAAAGCCAAAAGTCCATTTTGGACGAACAACCGTGACTTACCGCCAGAATTCACAGCCGGTGAACAAGAAGAAGAAGAAGACAACAATTTCGAGCGTACATACTTCCCTATCATTATACGGTTGCGTACGGTTGCTGTTAGGGTTGCATAGTCATCATACGGTTGCGCGAAGGGTTGCCTAGTCATCATACGGCTGCGTGTAGGGTTATACCTATCATCATACGGTTGCGTGTAGGGCTGCGTACGGTGTGGATTCGGGGTTAGGGTTAGGGTTTAGGGGTAGGGTTAGGGTTAGGGATAGGGTTAGATGTGACAATTTTGACGTAGGAGTTCCAAATACTGGCCGACAATCTGATGCTTGTGGGAGTGGCGCCACTGAAAGTCTGTCAAATATGACCGCAATAGCGCGCAGCTGGTGCCCAACCGGTGGCGACGTGTCCGTGTCAGTAGCATCCACAGTCCGTCGACTTTTTGGGTGTGTATGTGACAGTGCGCGATTATTGGGAATTCCTGCGTCGTCAAAATTGTCACATCTAACGCTAAACCTAACGCTAAACCTAACCCCTCCCCTAACCCTTAACCCTACCCCTAACGCTAACCCTAACCTTACCCTTAACCAACACCCCTAACCCAAACCCTACGCAGCCCTACACGCAACAGCATGATGGACCACGCAACCCTTCAGGCAACCGTATGATGACTACGCAACCCTACAAGCAACCGTATGATGACTACGCAACCCTACACGCAACCGTATGATGACTACGCAACCCTAAACGCAACCGTACGCAACCTTACACGCAACCGTATGATGATAGGTAAGTATGTCATTTGTTTCGTGACTTTTCCGCTCACTGTTTCGAGTGCGGCCAAGGGAGAGAACTCCCACTAAACTGAACTAAGTCGTCCAGCCCGCATCCAACCCTCGTCCGGATCTGCAAGGAGAGCCCTCACGAGTACAGTAATTGGAGGAAGTTGCAGAAGATGCGGTAGCTGCCGCTCGTGAGTCCCAGCCATCTAGTTTAGCCCCGGATGATACGCTCGGCGGTGAGGCACACTCGCAGACGCAGGTCGGCAAGTAACGCCGTATCGCCGAGACCCTGTCAGAGCCATTTGTTTCGTTATCCGGAGCCGGCACATATATTTTTAATAGAACTGACCCGCATTGGGATATTTTTGGATATTTTATGGTCAGAAATTGGCCAATTTAGCTCCCTTTTGAACGCCATCATATTGAAGCCGCCATTTTGGGGAACGATTCAAAGAAGCGCCTAAAAAACATATAAATTATAAACTGTATTGTT